CGCGAGGCCCGCGGCGCCCAGGTGGCGTCGCAGCCGGCTGCGTCCCAGCCCACCACGCAGGATGCTCACGGCGGGGGGACATGATGGGCAAGCACTGCTGACGGGGGCTTTCCGGGGGCTGCTAGGAGGATGCCCGCACACGGGTCCTGGCCGAGGGGCGCTTCCTCCAGATCCGGGCACTGCTGGTGACGGATAGGGGGGAGTACAGCTGCACCGCCAGCAACTCGCTGGGGACGACCAGCCTGAACTTCCAGGTGGACATTCATGGTGAGCAATGCACTGATGTGGTTTCTGGCTTCGCTGGGGACATGTGCCAGCTCAGTTCCCGTTTTGTGCAGCGATGCATATTGTTATGGTGTTGCCTATAGATGGGATAGTGGGAAAGGGGGAATTAAACACTGTCCAGCCCCAGGTGCTGGTCTGGTCTGAATTGATTGATCCCCTGAGCTGTGTTGCTAACTCTCTCCCTTCCCTCCCGGGCGATGCTACAGTGGCCCCGGAGATCCAGCCTGGCCCCGAGGCGCTGAGCGTGCTCGTGAATGGATCAGCCGTGCTGCCCTGCCAGGCAGAGGGGTGGCCCGTGCCCCAGGTGACGTGGCGGAAGGACGGCCAGCTGCTGCCCCTTGGCGGGAGCCCCAGGTATGAGGCTCTGCAGAGTACAAGCTGGCTCTGAGATCACGCCAACCTCTGCGTTCATGGGTATTTCCACGTTCCCGGAGTGGGGATGCTGCTGGCAACAGGGAGCACAGGCTGCAGCTCGGCCACGGAGAACCCTAACAAGCCTAACGGGGCTTGCTCTCCCTCCGGCAGGCTGAGGATGCTGCCGGGAGGCTCCCTGCAGATAGACCCCGTTCAGGTCCAGGATTCAGGCTACTACCTCTGCGTGGCATCCAGCCCTGCCGGGTCTGACCGACGAGGCCTCGACCTCCAAGTCCTGGGTAGGTGGAAGAATCAGCTGCATCCTTGGGGCTTGGTGGGCTGGTTTGAGCCTAGTTGTGCTGGATCCCTCCTGCATTCACGCTGCCGGGAGGCTCCCTGCAGATAGACCCCGTTCAGGTCCAGGATTCAGGCTACTACCTCTGCGTGGCATCCAGCCCTGCCGGGTCTGACCGACGAGGCCTCGACCTCCAAGTCCTGGGTAGGTGGAAGAATCAGCTGCATCCTTGGGGCTTGGTGGGCTGGTTTGAGCCTAGTTGTGCTGGATCCCTCCTGCATTCACCCTCTCTGTAGCCCACCGGTGCACGCGCAGTGCTGTGCCATTGTTCTCAGCTCATTAATGCCTGGTGACCCCCGAGTTAACGACCCCCGTATGCTCTTCCGCAGTCCCTCCTGTCATCGCCCCC